TCCCCCATTAACAGATATTCACTGCCCCCTAAGGTTCCCATCTAATCTTTTGAGTTGCTGTTATCAATTTGATCCCATATAGATAGTTCTTACAACAGCATAATGTTCAAGGTAGACACTTTCTACTAGTTAAGCTAAATTATTGTTTGCTTTTAAGAAGATTTCAGGGGATAATTTTGGTTTAAGGTTTAAAGATTATCTCAGGGCAACAGTTTCAGGTGTTCATCCAAACTTCATAGATTCAGGAAGTCTGAATCCATGAGAATGTGAAATTCTGTTCTATATTTTCTTCCTTTTGATCTGGGATTCTTCTACAGAATCCCAGATCAAAATGTCCAGTGATGGTAGCCAGGCACCATCCAGTTCTTCTGGTCTCATGGCAAAGAAGGCAGTTGTTCATGGAGGCAATTAGCCACAAATTTCACATCCTCTTCCTATTCCTGACTCACCTTCTTCCATTGTTGCTCCAGGCAAACAGAGACCAATTGTGCCTTGCATGGCCGCTTGCAAGCGTTTAAGACTCCAGGCACTAAGCAACAAACTAGGAAGTAGAACAGAAGCACTGAACAGGTTATTAGGCCAATTAACTGGGATGTCCCATGAAACCATGACCCTAAACCTCCAAACCAAGGAACCAAATCCCATGAGGTTTTTGGCTGTACATAGGCATTCTCAGCAGCTACTCTTTTTTTGTTTTTTTGTCGTTGTTGTAAATATATCTAACTTTTGCCAATTCAACTTTTTACAGGTGTGCAACTTATTGACAGCACTACAATAATCAGCTGGGCAACCCTACCCTTAATCAATACGGTATTTCCATCACTGTTAATCCCCTTTCCCCCTCCCTCCCGCCCCTGGTAACCACTAACAAACTTTGGTCTCTAGACATTTGCCTTTTCTTATCTTTTTTATATAAGTGAGGTTATACAATATTTGTCCTTTAGTGATTGACATTTCACTCAGCATAATGTCTTCAAGCTCTATGCAGCATGTATCAATACTTCATTTCTCCTACTGGCTAAGTAGTATTCCATTGTATGTATGTACTACATTTTGTTTATCCATTCATCTGCTGATGGGCATTTAGGTTATTTCTACTTTTTGGCTTTTGTGAATAGTGTTGCAATGAACATTGGTATACAAGTCTCTGTTTGTGTCTCTGCTTTCAAGTTTTTTAGGTATATACCTAGGAGTGGAATTGCTGAGTCATAAGATAGTTCTATTTTTAGTTTTTTGAGGGACTGCCATACTATTTTTCACAACGGCTGCACCATCTCATATTCCCACCAGCAATGGATAAGGATTCCAGTTTCCCCTCATCCTCGCCAACATTTTTTATTTTGTTTTTCATTTTTAATCTTAGCCATCCTAGTGGGAGACAAATGGTATCTCATGGTGGTTTTGATTTGCATCTCTCTGATGGCTAATCACTGAGCATCTTTTCATGTATTTGGTGGCCATCTGAATGTCCTCTTTGATGAAATGTTTGTTCAAATAATTTGCCCATTTTATGATTGGGTTGTCTTTTTGTTGTTAAGCTGTCAAAGTTTTATATATATTTTGGTTATTAGATTCTTGTTGGATATATGTTTTCCAAAGATATTCTCTCAATCGGTAGCTTGTCTTTTCACTTTTTTTGTAAAGTCGTTTCATAAACAAAAGTATTAATTTTTATGAGGTCCCATTTATTTAGTTTGTCTTTTGCTGTTTGTGCTTTTGTTATTATATTAGATAATCCACTGTTAAAAGCTAGGCCTGACAGCGTTGCCCCTGCCTGGTCTTCTAAGAATTTCATGGTTTTAGTTTGTACATTTAGGTCCTTAATCCACTTTAAATTTGTTTTTGTGTATGGTGTGAGGCAAGGATCCTGTTTCATTTTTCTGCATGTGGAATTCCAATTTTCTGTACATTTATTAAAGAGACTCTTCTTTCCCCATCAAATGGCACTTATAAAGCTTTTGATCAATATAAAGATTGGAAAGTCAGCTCTTACACAAAAGATCTGACGAGCATAAGGCAAGTTGGAAGGATAGTCTTCAAGTCTGCAGAAGGGGTGGGGAGAATGAGGACCCTGGAAAATGTCTGCACCCACAATTTCTTTAACATATAAGGCTTGAACATAAAGCCCAGAAAGTACAACTGTTAAAGGCTGCTTATATTAAAAAAGTGAATAAATGTGAGGATGTCTTCTCTGTATAAATCTTATGAGTTATCAAACTGACATATGCCATGCACACTGGTTTCACGAAAGGCCACCAGATTCATGATGACATTGTGTCCAGGGATGCCTCTGGTTGTTTGCTGTCCAAGAGCCAGAACTGCACCCATTCTTGCTGTGTCTTCAGGTCCTGGTACAAGTAGGAACGTGAGAACTGAAAGGCCCTTTCTGGTAGATGGCAGTTCACTGGCTACCAGGTCAGGCCTGTTAAATTAGTCAGAAAAAATGCAAAAACAGGCCACTTCTCTGTGCTTTGTTTTCTAGAGGTATCTTCTCTGACTGACCCAAAAGAGAGCTATCAATGCCTAACATAATCTGTGCTGGCTTGGTGATTCCCAGGAATAGCACCGAGCCCAGAGCACTGGGGGCTACCTCCCATCCTGACACCTCTCTAATTAAAGTGTTCAAATCAGCTGGAGCGGGTTTGGGAGGCTAGGAGAGGATTACAGTGTATGCACAAGGAAGAAGAGAGTACATAATTCAAATGTCTCCAACTTTCTAGGAACAAATCAACACAGAAAATCAGTCACACCCACAAAACTATTCCCAACGTTCTAACTGTTCTAACTGATGAGATGATTCTCTAGTGTTACTTGTGTCAAAAAAGGGTGGTTTACTTCCCAGAGGGTGACCTACTCTTTGTCTTATGCCAAGAAAACCATAAGAAAATTGTTGACCTATAATACTTACTCATCATGTTTAATCACTACTTAAAATAAAGCACTCACTGGGCCACTTAACTAGAACATAACTTCCCAGGCAACAGACACACCTACTGAGACACTTAAAATTTATGAGCAGTGTGGTTCCCAGCTGTGTGTTAAGAGGGAGCCTATGACATCAAGTCTTGAGTTGCCCTGGAGAAACATGGGCAGAAGCCATCATAGCAAACCATGCTTGCCAATCGGAGATTTCTCAGGAGTTGGCTTTGCTTTTTAGTACACCAAACTCTAAAGAATAGCAGTCAAGGTTTGCATTGACCTACCCTCCCCCTTCCCACAATGTCCCCGGGGGCAGAATATCCTCCCCCACTTACACTATTCCAAAAGCTGACTCCTCTAAGAGTGCTTAAGGGTAAGTATTTAAGTCAGAGCACAGACAAACTCAGCACGTGTCCTTCTCTTTCGCTTGACTCAGCCAAATGAAAACCTCCCAAAAGATTCTTATTTTTTTTCTGAGCTCTTCAGATGGAGTAAAGCAGTAATAGTCTACCATGAAACTTTGATCCAGGGAAATGGATAAATGCACAGAGGTGTTTTCCAGCATCCCTCAAAAGCACTCAAGGAACACGTAGCCCTTCCCACCTTTGAGAAGCAGAATAAATGGCCATGAGAAAAATCACCACTGGAAAGCTGGTCCTTACTAAAAGGATCTCAACAAACTAAATGGGTTTTCTAAAGCCCAGGGATTCTATAACACCTTTTTAAGATCAAATTGCCTAAAAGCACTGTCCAAATTCCATCAGAACCTACAGATAATGCAGTAACATACTTGGGTTCGCAGGCATCTGGAAATGTCACTCCCCTGCTTTAAATCCTTCAGGGGTTCTAAGGATCTGGCCCTTGACTCTCTGGGTCAAATCTATCCCTCCTCCACTCACATGCCACACTCTAGCCCAGTGATTCTCAACCAGGGACAATTTTGCCCCCTCAAGGGATATTAGGCCATGTCTGGGAACATTTTTGGTTGTCATGACTTGGGGGAGGGGAAAGGGATGCTATTAAACGTTCTACAACGTACAGGACAGCCTCCCACAACAAAGAATTACCTGGTGCAAAAGTCACTAGTGCACACGTTGAGAAACCCTGCTCTAGTCATATGAAAATTTGTTGCCAAGCAGGCTATATTTTTTCATACACCTCTGTGCCTAAACATAGACTATTTCCTTTACCTAAAATGCCTTACCCTGCTTTCTCTGTTCAGGAAATTACTACTTATCATCCAGGATCCAACTCAAAATATCACCTCCTTTATACTGTCCTTCCCCAGAGCTGGATGCTCCTTCTTCTATGCTTCCAGAACTTCTGGTACATACCTCATTAGAACACTCACTATGTTGACCCAAAATTATCTGTCACCTGCCAAAGGCAAGGACCAAGTCTTATTCATCATTTATCCCCACAGTGTCCATCTGGTAATCAATCACTTCTTGCCTAATCCATCAGTGAATAAATGGAAACACTGCAGATGCACCTCAGACTCTCTTGCAAAAATGTCTAAGGAACAAGTCTTCCCAACATAAAAAAATAACCAGAGCAAATATTTCTAAAATTCTCATAATATAGGCAGGTGCTCTATTAAGCACTGGTACATGTATTAACTCATTTAATCCTCACAACAACCCTATGAAGTGGGTACTGTCATTATCAAGCATTTTACAAATGAGGAAACTGAGGCACAGAGAAGTTAAGCCACTTGAACAAGGTCACCGAAGCTAGTAGTGGGAAAAGTTGAAATTCCAATCCAGGTAGTCTGGCTCCAGAGTCTCTATATTCCAATATTCATGCCAAGGCAATTATATTAACAATCCAACATTTCAGTACTCACAGTGCTCAAGCAAACAAGTGATGCCTCAGGAGGATTATACAACCATAAAGTGGCCACCAGCTCCCGTGACCCTCCCTGTAAACATAGCACACCTGGGATCTGACAACTTTCTAACATCTGGGATGTTTCTGGCAGGAGAAGCATCCTCCTCACACCATGAAAAGACATTATGAAACCAGGAAAATCATGGTACCATAAAGAGAATACAAGCACTGATCCCCAGAGTACCTCTTACCTTGTTCATGCTGCAGGGACTGGAGCGAGAGATCAGACATGTCACGATGCAAGGCAGCTCTTGAAGATTCTCCTTGTTCCTGGGGCCCTCACTTCCTGAAGCAAACAGCTGCACAGAGAACACAAAAACAGAAGACATCCATCAGCTAGTGCTCAGGAAGACACAGGGCAGTCCTATGTCCGAGGAACTTTCTACCATGATGGCAATGATCTGTATCTGCACTGTCCAATATGGTAGCCACTAACCACATGTGTCAGTGAAAGAACAGAAGACCTTCAACGAGATGGACTGACAAAGTGGCTACAATGATGGGCTCAAGCACAGCAGTGACGGCGCAGGACCAGGCAGTGCTTCATTCTGTTGTATACAGGGTCGCTATGAGTTGGAACCGACTCAATGGTACCTAACAACAACAACAACCGTATGCAGCTATTGAGCACTTGAAATAGCTGAACAGCAACTGAGGAGCTGAACTTTTAACTGTATGTAATTTTAATTAAATTGAAATGTAAATAGCTACGTGTGGCTTTCACCTACCATATTGAGCAGGGCAGGTCTAGAGAGTCAAATCAAGAGTACTAGGGCCACAGACGCTGGGCATGCCACTGGGCAAGAGAGAACTGGGTATTACATGCTCAGAGTAACTGCAGATACACAAGGACAAAAACATCCATCCATTCAAGAGCTATTTTTTGAGCACTTACTAGGTGCTGTGTACTGAGGAAATAGCGATCAATAAGCCAGATGGTCCAGTTACCCACGAGTTTCTAGTTGAGGCTTTGACCTCCCTAGAAAGGGAAAGGAAATAGCTACCTACTAAAACCTACTACATGCTAGACCCAAAGAAATATACAAGTTTACGCTGAAGACTATCAGTGGCAGGGCTTAATAGATAGAACCTTCCATAGTGCTCCTTTGGACATATCATCAGTAAGACCAATCACTAGGAAAAGACATCATGGTTGGTAAAGTAGAGGGTCAGCAGAAATGAAGGAAGCCCTCAATGAGATGAACTGACATGAGTCAAAGCCAACTCAATGGCAACTAACAACACCTGGTTCTTGGATACACTTGAATTACATCTTAAAGTAAAACAGTTTATTGTATGATTCCAGGGTTCTTAATTTGTCAAACACTAAGAAAAAATAGAAAGAAAATACCTTCAACCATTTCAATACATTTTTAGCCTTTTCTTTTGAAAGATGTTTAGGGGGGGATTTGAGAGGAGAGCAAAACATTGAAAGTTCCTTATAATCACCTAACGTGTGTGATTTATTCAGGTCGTGCCTAAGAAGGATGTGTAAATGTGAACTTTCCTATAAAGACTGGAATTGGAGGTTTAACTGGAACTGTAGTACTTTTCCTATTGAACATTTTTCTTATTTCTATTATTTTATACTTAAAAATAGTATATTTTTTTTTATTTTTAAGAAAAGCACTACTGTTCCACTAGCCCACCATAAGCACCTTTAGTTCTCAGTAATTAGGCCCTGTCCACTAGAGAACGTGCCTAAGACAGGGATAGGGCCTGTCTGTGAACAGAGTTGAGCACATGGGCAAGCCCAAGGCTGTATTCCCCATATTACCATCTTTCACTGTGAAGAAAATGATTTTGCAATGTATTTTATATTTTCAAAAGATAAACTCCTAGTACTCCAAACATACTACTACTATTCTATGAACATAATATTATTAAACTCCTTTTACAAATGAGAAGACAGGGAGAAGAAATTGCAGATTACTCCCTGGGTATTTGAGACACACAGATTCCAAAGAAAACAGCACATTCAGTCACAGCAATAACATATTTTAACTATGATGTACAACATGGAGAGACCCTGGAATTCTGACTTTGCAGGATAAATAAATCCAAACATCTTCATTGTACAGGATGCCTGGGTAATCATTACTTCAAAATCAGAAAATTCAACATCCAATTCTAATAAATTTTAAAGTGACTGAAAAGAAATTAAGGATATAAATTTTACTCTGAATTTCCAGAAGCAGATGCTAATGAACTTCAGTTTTAAGGTAATGCTCTGTACATGCTGTTTCCTTTTCAATATATGTATTTGGTTCACTTAAAAATGAATGCCCATTTAACTAGTGAGTTTGTCCAAATGCCTTGCAAGGATGGCTAACGTCACAATTCCACTCAAATGTACACAGTAGTAACAACACAGGAAAGGTGGGTACAGAAGATAATAACAGACAGACAAGGATTCTTGAAGGCAACTTCCCTGAGAGGAACCCCACCCAGTTTCAATCATGCTACAATTCCCATTCCCTCAGAATCTGGGTTATAGTTCACACTAAACTAATTATGGATCTTCGCCCTTATGTCATTTTCAGGTATTTTGGGTCTACAACCCAGTCAAGCTAAAAACTCTTTGAGGGAAATATTAGTTACACAGAAAGCTCTTAATAAACATTTTGAATAGATTTTTTTTTCTTTGTTCTCACCCACACAAACTAAAATGATGTAGGCTGTCAATGTAGGAGCTTAAAAACAGTGTTGGTAAAATATTGTTAAGAACATCATACAGCTAGCTGTATAGTACTCAAAACTGTGCAATGAATTTTTATATGAATACTCTTGTTTAGTGCTGATATCAATCTGGGTGGTAGTTTCCTAACTAGGGAACCAGACTAAGAGATGGAAAAGAATTCTTCTGGGTCAAGCCGTCGTAAGCACTAGAGCCTGGACTCCGTTTCAAGACGCTTCTAATTGAAACACGTATAAAGACCACAAATAAAGAGTAACTCCCCTACCAAAAAAAGGAAAACAAATATACACCTCAAAGACAACCATTAATTAAAACAACACCTCACAGAATAGATGGCAGTTTTAGAAACTGGGGTCAGTTCACTTCCTCACAGCAGCTGAAAAGATCGGTTTTACTCTTATCAAGTCCTTCCAGTCTCTTTGGAAACAGAGGACCTGGTTAATTTGTTGCCAATTCAGTTCATAAAGAAGCTTAGAGAAATTCACAATGTAAAAAAAGAGACTACATCTTAACCATGAAGCATTAAGAAAAGAATTCTCAGTTACCACGGTGGAATTAAAGGTGTTTGCGTTTTTCTTCTATTTTTCAATGTTTCCATAATAGGATTCTATTATTTAGTTAACTTTTTAACCATTTAAGAAGTTGGATTCTTCTAGTAATGAACAATGGAAAGTACAGTTGCCTTTAAAGGATACCTTGAGAAAGTCAATCCCATAAACCAGTGTGTGACTTCCACCTATTAATTCTAGAGTTGTTTCAACTTACAGAGCCTGTAGCTAACCTTAGGCTTCCAAAGGGTTAATGCAATGTAAGTCATCTTTCCAGGTGAGAAAAAGAAGTGCCGATAAAGAGGAAAGTGGAGACAAGGTAAGTGTAGGAAGAAGAAATAAAAGAGCAAAGAAAGAAGAAATTTAAAGGGCTGGTGAGCCAACAAAGACACCCAGACAAAGGTTCAGCAATTTGGCCACATGTCCCTTACCAGCCAGGCCCCTACCACTGAAGGGACCACGAGATTGCAGGCTCCGTGTCCTGCAGCTTCTCCAGGATCATATACACTCTCTTGGCTTGGGTGTCAGCACGTAGGAGTTGGAGTAAAGTTAAGACCGGGCCTACCTGTTTCACCACTATTTATTTACCATCAACCTCCACCTACTACTGAGAAAAGTCTATTATACCTGAATCACTGCTAATGTGGTATAAAGGTATGGTGAGAATAGCGTAAGCAAACTTTATTCTATTTTCCTTACTCCAAGGAGAAGCTTAAAAGTGTCAGTGGCAATTTGTGTGTGTGTGTGTTATACTGTTACTTGACCCTTGAAAATGCAACTAATACTTACTGCGAATATACAGTGAAATATGATGAGATGGGCTTTTCTCCTGACTCCAACTCCCACCCCAACCAAGAGCCTCATTCTACTATGAATAACTGGAAGCCTTTGAAACAGAACTCAAAGCTGTGTAGCTCAAACACTCCTATGGGAGGCTGGCTAGCAAGAGCGAGCAGGTGATTCTTCACGGTGTGAAAGGCTTTTAGAGATAATCTACCCTGAGGTCAGTCTGTCGAATGGTCTCTTGTCCTTCCCCTCCCCATTACCTTATCCAGAAGCCCAGAGATCTGGAGAACAATGACCCATACCAGACCCACGTGCCTGTGGAGAAGGAATAAGGGAAGTAATTAAAGGACCCACAGACTCTGGAAGAAAAAAGGTAGAGAATGCATGAGGACAAGAATCTAGAGGAAATTCTCTAAAAGCTAGGGTAATCAGATGAACAGGTGAGAGAAATCTCCTCTAGTTTCCTCCACCCTGTGGACTTTTTATGGGTTGATGAAATTCACATGACTCTGAAGTCAAGCCCTGACTGAATGAATCTTCACTTGAAGTCCTTGTACAAGACTGGCGAAACCTAAGACCATTTTATCACAGATGTACAATCCCTCCCTTCCACAATACAGGCCATGATGTTAGGATTAAAGCAGCCAAGGGCAAAGGAACAAAGAAACCTCTGCCTTCCCTACACACATACACATAAACGTACACACACCTCCCAAGCAGCTGTCCCATTCCTTTCTTCCTGAAAAGAGGCATAAGGGATCAGAGCAAAGCTCTCTGAGTAACTTCTTGCAGGTCCTTCTCCAACCTCAAAGTTGTAGTAGACGTGTGGCTCTGGTTGTTCAGGACCTGGTTGTCCTTGCAGCCCCCACATTTAGGCAGCAAACATGCCCTAACATGGTTCTGCCTCAAGAGACTGGACAGTGTTTACCATCCTACCTTGCTCCCCTGTAGCCTGCCTTCACAACACACAGTGGAGAGTGTACATCCTCAGCCAGAAGGATGAGAGCATCTTCCCATGAAGAATCATCAAAAGTTTTCTTCCCCAAAGATAGGGTCATTGTTGTTGTTAGCTACCGTTGAGTCAATTCTGATTCATGGCAACCCCATATATGCCGAATAGAACTGCTCCATAGGGTTTCAAGGCTATGACCTTTCAGAAGCAGAGTGCCAAGTCTGTCTTCTGAGGTGCCTGTGGGTGGGTCTGAATTGCCAACCGTTTGGCTGGTAGTTGAGTGCTTAACCATTTGTGCCTGTACTTATTCAAACT